AGGGAAGAACAACTTTTCCCTGACTGTCCCCAAAGCCAGCGCCCGCGCCGCACCGCAGTCATGCAAAAGAGATGCGGGCTGGGGGGGGAGGGAAAGTAGAAAAAAAAAAAGAGCAATAAATTAAAAAAAAAGTAACGCACGCAGAATAAAATATATTTCCCAGTGACAGAAGTGGCTCAGTCAGACTTGTGAACAAGAGCAATAATGTTAAAACGGAGAGACCCAGCATCCCGGGACATCTTGGCTTGAATCGCCTCTGCAGCAACCTTCACAAACTCTTCATTACCCGCGCAAGCACCGTGAAGCAATGGATGTGGCTTTCGCCCGTCCAACTCCACACATTGACCCTTTGCGTGCACAAAACACGTAAAATGAAGGTCAATGCTTGCATCGATGGCCTGATTCGGTGTGACCCCTCCCACCGATGCCTCCATATGCGCCGCATCAAGTTCGGAAGACGACTCAATGAGGGAAGCGCGTCCCTCTGGCATCTTATTAAGCCCCACCGTAAGCAGATAGTCAAGCGGACTATCTTTTCGCAAGTCACCCACGCAATCCAAGTTATTCATCACAGCATGCAGAATAGCCATGGTACCACAGGCGTTCTCAACGGTTTGTCTGGAAAAAAATATGTCGTTTTTAGCCACGAACTCATTTGCTTCGGCAGCACACATTTCCATAGCCTTAGCATCCCCCGCATCCATTTCAGGCGAAATAGGGTACAAAAGTAGCATGGCAAAAACGGGTCGTGGTACAAATCCAAGCAGATCGGGCTCTAGGCCGTATACGTCGCAAAACTCCACCTTGGGGTTTGTTACACCGAGTGCTTTCAAATACGCATTCATCACATTGGGGTTGCTTTCGATTGGCAGCCACCTCTTCGCCATCCTGTACAGATGGACTTCCTTACTTGTGTATACGTTGCTCACTATCTTTATTAAGTATAAATGGTGACTTTTCCTTGGGGCGTAAACTCCTCCTCTCGAAGATCCCCGCAAAGTGACAGAGAAACGCAAACGGCGGAAACAAAAACCAAAAAAAAGACAGACAAATGCACATACGCATTCCGGTCGCCCCCACGGCCGATGAAGGCTCACCGACGCCCTCCACCCATCAGAAAGGATGAGTGAAGCACGACGAAAGGCGTCTTTTAACCGGAGAAACTAGCAAGCAGGAGAAAGGCTACTTTCGAGTGTTGATGATGCTGCTGATGCCCCTATCATGGGAGTTTAATAGTTTCACCTCTACATCCAACTTCTTCTGCATTACGATGTCCTGAAGTGACACATTCATGCAGATAGCTTTTATTTGTGTATCTTTTTTTTTTCCTTCTCCCCCGTCTTCTAATTTTCACTTTTGCTTCCCCTCCATTTTGTTGGAGGAGAGTTGATCCCCGCTCTAATAAACAGAGACGTCTTCCCCTTTCTACTAGGCGAGGTACGCCTTTAAGTCGGGGTCGCTTTGTTTTTGGACCTTGTTCAGGTCAATAATGCTCTCACACATGGGACAAGTCTGGGAGCTCCGCAAGAGTGTCACGAATGAGGAGTAGAGCGCGGGGAATTGGCAAATGGGGCACTCCGAGTAGTTGTCCTTCACCATGTGTTTGCCCGTGACGATGCAGAACGGCAAGGTATTCTTGCAAGCACCACAGTCTAGCTCCGTCTCCGGCACTTGCGCATCACAGAAGGGGCATGGGGACGTTTTCTCCGGTGGATCCTCCATCTCTTCCTTCCCACGTCGACGCACGATTCCCTCAATCTTTTTCCGCGTCTTATCATCCAATTCGGTCCTGTATTTCCCATTTTGAATGATGATACAGGCGTTATCGAAGGCAGCCTTCTTGAACCCACTTTTCAAGCACTGAAGTGCAGTGGAGGTGTAGATGGCAGCAATATGCTTCGGAAACTTATGAATGTTTCGCACCACCCGTAACAGCATACGAGAAGCGGTTTCATCGTCTTTCATAATCTTCATAAGCGGCCTCGCAATGATATACGAATGCAGCAGCATCAAAGAACGACGAAGATCATTGGGTATGTGCATCTTTTTCTCCTTAAGTATACGATATGCGTCTACAAGCGTCTTATGTGCGAGTATGTAGTTGCCCATCTCCTGCTCCTTGGTGGCAATCAAGACTGAGGTTTTGGCGGCCTTTTCGTAGCTTCCCAGGGCCATGTAAAGCTTGAAAATATACGACGGCTCCTTCGGCTCACCATCGGTTTCCCCCATAAGATAGTCAATAAGCCTATTGGTTAGCGCATCACTCCTTGACTTGCCAACAACCTGAATCGCCTTTTCAATGTCCTCGGGCTCACCGCCGTCAAGGTAATTTGTCAATGCCAGTCGGAAGTTCCCGGCAATGTGGTAGAACAACCCGGCCTGCCCGGGTTTTCCACATTGCTCATAGTACTGTGCAATCATCGCAAACTCAGCCTGGCTGGCGGCAGGCGCAATCCCGTCGGTGAGTTGTACCTGATTCAGCAGCGCAGATTCCAGTGTTGACATGCAGTTCTTCTCCTTGGCCAGCTCAAACGCCTCTGGAAAACTCTTCGCCAAAACGAAGAACTCCACCGCCGAGCCAAACTCACCTCTTTTTTTGCACATGTTGGCGACCACCATGGCGGCGGCAGCCGATCGCGACTGACGCACGACAACGTATGCTCCATACAAGTCATTTAGTTTCTCCACCTTTACTCGAACCACATTGTCCCAATCCTCCGCCTGCGTGTAGGCCTGCTCAGCTTCCTTGAAGGCCCCTTCAGATTCCTTCGCCTTGGCAAACATCCCAATAATATTGCGTGACGAAATTTTGGGAATAAGACGACCTGCTGCCTTTAAATTTTTCGCCTCCGTAATGTATAGCGTGGCTGCATGCTCAAAGTCTGAGGACTTTTCGTAAAGGTGTGCTGCCTCCTCAAATTGACGGGCGGATTCCAAGATCTCCGCGCAGTCCCTTATCAGTGTTGCATCGTTGGAGTCAAGGGCCAGTTTCACCCCTTCCCGGATGCTTCCCGTGCGCAGTAAGCACCTGGCAGCGCCGTGTGCACAAACGGCATTGTGGTCTCGCACTTCTTCCTGGGCAGCAGTAAGTTCTGTGCTGGCGTGGCCCTTCGGCATCGCCCGTTCCCCTGCTCTGTACATCTCCAACGCCTTGGCGTACTCTCCTCTATACTCCAGTTGTTGGGCGTATTCCTTGGACAAAATGGGGACTTGCTCGGGCGCCATTTGCCTTGCAAGCGCAAGCGCAGACTCCCACTGCATTAAATCATGACGCATCTGAAGAGCACAGAGTGGCTGCGAGGAGCGCAGAAAGAAACTCTGTGCGTCCTTAAAGAAACCCATAATCATAGAAACATGACCAATGAGGAGATTTTTCTCATTAACGTGTTTGATGTTTTCAAGGCACATAACAAGACTGGGCTGTGAAAGCTGACGATAGAGACGAATGGCAAGTTCAATGTCAAGCATATGAAGTGCCTTGACGGCTAAATCCTCCGCCTCTTGTGGAGTGCTGATGTTTTGTGAGGCCCAGCGAAGATGATTCAATGAGAAATTGGTGTAGAACGCCTCCGGGTTTGGGACACGGGTCGTTGCCTGATGGTGGGACTTGAGGTGGACGGCGTCAAGTGAGCCGCTAGATGCCTGAAACGTCACCTTCCCCTTAAACAAACACACTGGTGTGTAGCCCGCGGGAACCGGAGTAAGAAGATTCTCCGTGTTGGTATCCTTCACCACAACCGACTCGCAAGTTGGACCATAACGACTGTGCGGGGAATAGACGAAGGTCACCATGTTTTTGCTGTCGTAGGAGACCAAGACGCCGTAGTCGCCTTGGTCCCAGAGTATATTCTTGTGCCCCGTCTCGAACCCCTCTGTTTGAGTCACGGTGAGTGTGACGGGGTTAAATATGTACAGCGTGTCATTCTTGCCGATGAGTGCTACTCGAGTGCAACTTGGGTTGGAGACAGCCTTCTTAATGCCGATGGAGGGCGCATGCTCAACAACGCACTGGAAATCAGTGAGGTTGATGACACATATTTTCTCCGTCGTCGCATAAATAAGAAGCGTCTCGCAGATGTCCACGGAAATGATGTTTGCCGTTCCGTTTTCCGGCAGAGTCACGGAGTTGCCGCCAGGCCGGATCTCGTGCAGCTCAATCTTCCCATCACATAGCGGTGCCGCATGCCTCGACGACACCTTCAGAGCAGCAACCGCGGCGGGAAACTCAGCACTACGGAGCAGCGTCACCTCCTTCCCGTCAATCGTGTAAAAGAGAACTTTGTTTCCGGCGCAAACCGCCAAAACCCCTCGAGCTGCGGCAATAATCGTTGGATCAATATCCACGGCTGCTGTATACAGTACCCGGTCATCCTGAAGACTCTTTGCGGTCACCACGCGCGAAGACGAGAGAAAGTAAATGCAGGCGCCGCTTGAACTGCTTACAGCCAAGACGTTCAGCCGGTAATTGATCAACTGCCCCCGTTCCGTGGAGACAGTGACATTGGACCCATCCTTGCTCCACTCTGCCCCTCGTATGGCGCCATACGACCCCTTAAGTTCCACGCCCTCCCTTTTATCCTCCGCAAATTTATTACCGGCGAGGTTGAAAAACTTAAGGGCATTTTCACCGACGGCAGCGCAAATGTTGGAGGTCTCGCAGCATACTAGCCCATGCACAGTGTCGTGAAAAGGACGGGTCACGGCACACATGTTCACCCCCTGGGCAGAAACATCAAGCAGCGCCACGGCCCCAGACGAGAATCCCACGCACGTCAAGCCCATCGGAAGTGAATAACAGGCGCTCACCGTACCCAATTTAGCGTCAAGTGGCACCGGTTGAGGCCTGCAGGTTTCTAAGTTGTAATGCTCAAGTGCTTGACCAAAATTTACTAGCGCTACGGTGGTAAACAGGGGCAGGCTCGCATCCTGCTGCTTAAGCTCCACTAATGTAAGGGACACGGGTAGCAGCTTCAGTGTCACCTGTTCCCGAAGCACCCCAGCTTCGTTGGAGATGGAGAGGATATTGTCTTCGCCCACCAGAACCAGCAGGTTATTCATGCTCCATTTGCCGTCAACGATCCTCTTCGTGTGAGTTCCCACGATAGGCAACTTCTTCCGTGTTTCACTGTTGATCACAACCAAGGCACCCTTGGCATTACCCACGGCAAGATGTGAGCCAAGTCGTGACCAGGCAATAAAGCATAGCTCAAGCAGGCCGGAGTCAATGCTATCGGAAGACAGCTTCCCCACCGATTGCAACGTAATGTTACTGCCGTTCCTTTGAATAAGCGCAAGAGTGTCCGACGAGTGGTCCCACGCAATTCTGACGACACCTGGCAGCGAGGAGGTGTTCAGCTTCTTACCATCCGGGGAGAGTACCTGCAGTTTTCCGTTTGCGCCATACACGGCGAGGTGCGAGCCAGTTGAGTCCCAGGCAAAGATAGGCGTCCCATCCCCGAGCTCCCTTGCGGATAACTCAAACCTCTTTTGCACTCCCATTTGCAAACAATAAAATAAAAACAATAAAAACAACTAGTGTAACTGATTAGATATATGTAAATATATCTATGAATATATGTAAAGACTTGGGAATGAAACGCAAAAAAAAAAAAACAAGAGTAAACACTGAGGCATGTCCGTTGCGATGCAAAGATTACTTGAACAGGAATAGAGAAGGCGGAGAAGTGCAAACACACTGGTTCATTTTGTCTTGCGTGCGTGTGTGGACGCGTGCGCGCATCTCAGTTAAAAAAGACCAACAGCGGCGGATACGACCAGGGCGGTTACCTGCTCGAGAAGTGTGGTTATTCAGTAATCGCTTGTCATTCACGTGGGGCCCAACCCGCCTCCGTTGTCGTTGTTGCTCTTGCTGTTCCACTTGGTTATTCTGGTCCTTCTCCCCCCCGGGGGTGCCCCTCGACCTCGGCCTGTTGAAGTGAGGAGGAGGCAATGTGATGTGGCATTCGCGCTGCACGGGCCCATCCACGCAGGTTTTACTCCCCTCTTCATTATTTCGTTGGTTTTTCCTCCGCCATCTCTTTTATTCTGTTGTTGTTGCTTTTTTTTTTTACTATTTTTTTTTCCTTCGTTTCCTTTTGCCTGCCCGCAATGGGGACAATTTAAGCAAATCCTTGCGGGCATACACGCATCTTAATAGGAACTAATATGTGTGGGTATGAAGACAATGTTTGTGTGTGTGTGTGTGTATAAATAAATAAATAACTATATATATATATATATATATATATATATGT